CCATGTTTCATTCTCTTCCTTATATACTGACAAATATTTAAATAATAACATTATGTCATTCAACAGTCAAACTATTCACTTATGCATTTTCTTGTAAGAATGAGCAGTCATTAAAATAACTACAGGAAAATAAACAACTGCCCAAAATGATTGCTGCACAAATCTGTGGTAAAGATTGTGAGTCATTTTATTGCCGAGAAGCAGCAGCAAGCAATGGAGATCCATCTTCAGGAAGTGGAGTGCGTTTGTACTCTGCTTTGGTAACAAGAAGCCCAACAAGTAATGCAAACACAACCATTACAACACCTATCATGTTAATAAGTACTGCTTCACCAGGCAATGCTCCGTAATTTGGTCTGAAAGATAAAATTCAAAAACAATATAAGATAAACTTTGTCATTTTCCTGACCTTAACATCACTTTACAGTTGGCAAAACATTACTTAAGAGAAAACCATGAATGAATAAACATGAAATAATACTTACATGGCAAAAAAAGCTTTCTCATTTAATCCAATCAAAGATGCTCCAACAGACAAAGCAAGTATTGCAATACCATTAAAGACATGATATGGAAGAATAAAAGATCTATACTCTGCACTTAGTCCAGGGAAGAGGAAAGCAGTGAGACCAACCACATACTGTAAAAATAAAGGCGGTAGTAATAATGTAACAATTATGTTATTTTTTTTAAAGGTGTACTCACAAAGAAATTAAATTGAAACATCAATGTTTACCTGGGAAAAGAACATGATTACAGCACCAAGTCCAATCCAACTGTGTAGGGAGTATAGATTTGGTGTAGGAGTGGGCTTGTGGAGATTGTGCGAATCAAACACAGCAACCAACCCAATCACAATCAATGGTAGAGTGAAGAGTTGAATTCCCCCATGGATGTATTTCAAAAGAACTTTGCGGTTGTTGCGCAGAACTCTGAATGTGAGGATTGCTGCAGCAGACATAGAAATGTCAAATTATTTTAGGTATAATTATGCTTCATGACCATTAGTATAGTTTGATGAAAATGTGTACTCACCATTGCCATTCAAAAATATTAATGCTATTACCATGAGAAGAGGGTGCCAGTTGAATTCTAGATCAGGGTTGCTTGTCCAGGCAAATCCTTTCTGTCCACACCAAACAGCTACAAGTGTAACAAGCACCAATCCCACTACTTCAGTAAGCACCAATAGGGGGCTGAAACCCTTCAACAGCTGTTGGGGAGTACCGCCTGCATCCATGTTGATGTATCCACCACCCTCCCCAGCTTTCTTGTCTGGAACAGATCAGAAGTAAAGGTCCAAATTAGGTGTGTTAGGTTCAAGCAAGAGTAGAAGAGAGCAAAAGAATACACATTGGTTGGAGCAATTTTTTCTTCACATTGTACATGAATTGTACTAAAGGGAGATTTTGACACTTATTACTTTATAAAAGTGGATGCAAATATTTTTTAATGTGTATGTCCTATTTCGGAAAATACTGGCAAGGTGTGCGACTTGACCAAATCCTGGGGTAAATGGTAAATCATGGGAAAGCAGGCACGCGTGTGTTTAATCGACCGCCTCCGCCTGATGGGCACGCCCGAGGGCACGCCACTTGTGGAGGAGAGCGCTGAAGTGTGACTCTTGGACATCCGCGTTTGTGGTTGCCTATCTGCCTGCCCGCAGACCACACACCTGCATTCGATACAGTATCACTGCAAAAAGTTTCCGGATCTCATGGGGTAGGGCAGAGCCACCGTGTTGACAAAAAGGGAGCGGGTTGCCTACTTTACCGAGTCTCATCAGACTGGCGACTTCCCCTAGCCTACCATAGCCTGGCCTAAGGGCAGCCACATCAGGCTGAAGACATCAGAACAGCGAGATGATTGTTTCGCCGAGGTTCCCGCGATCCACGGAGCAGCAGTACAACGGTCCTACTTAGTGGCTACCGCCTAGGGCCGCCCCGCCCAGATCCCCGGCGTAGCACCAGCTTGTTGCATTTCATTGCCTTCGCTCAAATCGCCCATCCCCTCGCATCCCCTACCCTCGTTCAGATCTTACACATTAAATCTGTAGGAGGACGCCAAGAAAGAGACCAAAATGGGGACTGTCGGTGGGTCGGCCCGCCCAGCCGTGGACCATATGGTGGCCCTATGGTGCGGTTGGCATAGCGGTAGTGGCCTACGGCCGCCCTACGGCCGCCCTACGGTCGCCCCACGGCGCTGGCCCTGCTTGCAAACTCACCCCCGGTCAGCCCGTGAGCCATGAGCAGAGGTTCGAGCGGCCCGCTAGCGGGGCTCACGGCGGCGCACATGAGGGTCCTGCTCCAGCTGCACCGGCCGCACACACGAGCACCGCGAGAGGTGCAGAGGCTGGCTGCTGGCGACGCTCTATTAGACGCTGTGCGCCCCTCCCCCCCACCAGCAGGGCAAGGGTATTGATCCGCGCCGCCGCCCCCTCCCACCTGATGCGCCGCCGCCGCCCCCGGCCCCCATTCGCCCTCGCCCTCGCCCCCAACGCTCCCGGGGCAAGCGCCACAAGCACCCCCCGGGAGCCGCCCCCGCGGGGTACCGCGGGATCCGCGGGATCCGCGGGGTCCCAGGGGTATTGGGTGTCGCCGCCGTGCCGATTAGCCGTCGAGGTGGCCGCACGCGGCGGGCACGCGGCACCGAGACCATCTCGTCCTCCAGCGGCGCTCTGCCATGGCTCTGCGAGCTCCCATCCGTGTGTTGCGCAATCGCATTTGGAATGGGGAGGCGCAGCCGGGCCAAGAGACTACTGGCGGCCTCCGGTCCGTAGGGTCGCCGAGCGCAGCGTTATGCAAAAGGCCCGACCCGAGTGCAAGAGAGGCCGGTTCAGGCCTGGTTCAGACTACCACACAGTATTGCGGGACTGCAAAAGGGATTGTCCAGAAAGTAGATCCGTTTTTCTCAGATTCCGTCGTCAAATTTCGACAGCCTGACGCCAGCGCGATTAACGGTATGCCATCCCGCAGTACACGATATACCTCAGGCAGGGAGGGTGGCACCTGCCCGAGCTTCTCGCGCCACCGTGCGTTACGCACCAGAATTGGAAAAGTACCAGTATCTTTGTGAAAGACGGGTACTGTAATTTTTTTTCAAAGCAATTTACTTCAAATGTATTAAACTTCAGAAGAAGTCAAGTTGTACGTCTGTTTTTACTCAGATTCATTCGGCAAATAACGGAAGGTCGGCGCCTGCGAGACTCAGGGTAGGCCACCCCGCAGTACACGCTTGCACTGTAGGAAAGACGTTGCCTACTCATCAGGCGCTACGAGAGCTTGCATCGGCTGAACGTGGCAGACTCGTAACGGTGAATGACGGACGTACTTTCTGGATGACCCCTCACGGACGGATTAGGGCCAGCGAGTAGGCAACCGCACTCCAGCATGCGCGGGGTTAATCAGGCACCTGGTATTTTTTCCTAGAAGGAAACATTTTTAAGAGCGGCAAAAGTGCACCCTGCCTGACCGTCCAAAAAAAAACTCTAAATATCCAGATCACAGTCAGTCGGTGTGGAGCCGGAGCATGTTAGGTCGGGGAGTCTCACTCCCTCCGCCTGTTTCGTAACCACTATTAACTGACGAAGGTATGCAGCCTTGACTCCTCCCATTCTCCGCCACAAAACTAGTTTCCTGTCAGCCTCTGGTAGGAGCGTGAGGTGGGCCACCTGGTTGGGACGGGAGGAGGGCCGGCTACCCCGACTCAAAGTCCTGCGTACTGAGGATGAACGATCTACCCAGACCCCGACAACCTCTCGGCTCACCGTGCCAGGGCGCGCGAGCAGGAACAGCCAAAATCACAATAAATGAGCAGGATAACTGGCTCTGCAAGGATATCATTGGCTTGTCGTTTTCTTTTGCAGGGCGGGGCGTCGCCGGGCCAGACGTGACACCCAGCGACTTATCAGTACAAACACGGCGGCCGGACACCGCGTTGCGCAACAAGGCACGGCCATCAAGGCACGGCAGCCGGGGCAGCCGAGGCTGGCAGCGCGCCCGGAGCCAGTGGGGCCAGCAGCCAGCAGCTCCGCCCCCGGGCCCCGGGCAACCCTCGGGTAGGCAGGCCGCTGCGCGCGTGAGCATCGCCGGGTGGACTACCCGCAGCGCCGAGGGAGGGTTGAGGGACTAGAGATAGTCTAGAGCCCTATTAAGCCTACATACAGGGCTCTAGTAGACTTTAGAGGAAAGCAAGACGCAAAGGGAGTAGGTCTTTCAAAACGGGGATTATATCTATTCACAGCGATAGATTGCGACCATACGGATGGTCACGCGAGACTCGGCGCGCGTTAATCTGATTATATTCTCCCGCCTCTCCCCGTTTCAAATTACCGCAAGTAAGCCGACTATCTCTGGTGTAGTAGTTTTTAAGGTCATGGAGCTGGACCGGGCGGGAAGAGCAGGGGCAGAGCGGTTCGGGCGCGGTTACGTAAAAGACGAGCTCCGCCTGCCGCCTCCTGACCTTAAACTTGAACGCGGCGGCACGCCACGGGGTCTGGCCTGGCGGGGGCCGGCCGGCGCAGCGAGCCTGTTTGTTTTGGCTCGGGGGCGCGCCGGCCGGCCCGACCGACTGCGACCGCGACCCGACGACTGTCCTGCCAAGTCAGCCCGGGTCATCCGCGCGCCGCGGCCGCCGAGAGAGGTTATGGATTATTCTTTGTTCTCACGCGGATCAAAGGCGCGGCGCCACCGAATGATGGAGCAGTCATTGCCCACTGCTGCATGGCGTAGCTTGCGCAACTTCACTTACACAGAGAGGAGAGGCAAGCGGGGGTCCGAGTGCGTCGGAAATGAAAAGCGAGCGGCGGCGGCGACTGTCTGTGTCGGCTGTCGGCGGGGGGCCGCGGCGGGGCAGCGCTGTGCGCGGCTTGTGAGCGCCTTGGCACTCGCGACGACGCGGCGCCGCGCGGCTGCGCCGTGCACGCAGCTCTTGCGGACCCCCTCGCCCTCGCGGCTCGCGGCACTGTACAGCGTGCGTCAGGGCCACAACCCACCTGCAAACTGATTCCGAAGAGCGCTCAAGGGGAGCTACCCCATGAGTGCGACAAGGATAGAGCTATACGGAAGGTATAGGAGCGCTCTTCGGAATCAGTCGGCTGCCCTCATCCGCGAGCGAAAAGCTGAGGCGGCCTAGAAAACCCGACAAGCCGTTCAAGCACGATGCGGGCGAGCTGCTGCTGCCCCCGCGGGCCGCTGCCGCTGGCGCCATTTAACAGGCGCATTAATTCATCGCTATTCCCCATTCTACGGTTTTCGGCGCTTGCACGCCATCGAAAGTAGGCTAAACAACGGAACGGAGCGGCCGCGCCGAGCGGGGCCGGGCGGGCCTGGGGGCGGCTGCCAAAATAATGGTCCGTGTCAGCAAACAGAAAGAGGCGAACACTGGCACAGATAAGCAGGCAGGCCAGCCGAGGTACGCCGGCAAGGGTTTTGCGGGGCAATCGCACTCCGTACGGCGGCCGTCGCCCCGTCGCCGGCGAGCAGGAGAACATACAGCGGTGATAGCAAACCGTTTGCACAGCCCACAACACTCCTTCCCACGAGACTCGCACGCTGAGCGCCGAGGCCGCTGTGCGCCCCGACAGAGGTTCGATGACCCATTTTCCCCTTTGCTTGTGCAAGTCCGTGGCCTGGTCGGGCTGGACGAGCTCCACTCACACTCCACGGTGGGGCTGGAGGCCGCGGCGGTGCCGCCGGACGCCATGGCGCTGCTAGTTCCTGGGGACGGGCTTGAGGTCGCGGCCGCTCATGGGACGCACTGATGACGGCTTGGCTCCGCGCACCACCTGGCCGGCCTGCTCGGCTACAACTGGACTGTCTGTCTGCTGCCGGGCCGACCGGGCGGCTGGCCGCGACCCGCGGCGTGGCGCGGGGCTGGGCGGGGGGACTGAGGTGCAGCCAGGCGGCCGCGGCCGCCACGGCGGCTCTCGGTACGGCAGCGAACGGCATCTGGCCAGAAGAGAGAGAAAGAAGCGTGCCGGAGGAGAGGGGCACGCCGGCACGCCGGGACTAGTCCAGGCCCCCGAGCACCTCAGCCTCAACGAGAGGCTTGGGTGTTAAATAAGTTGCCCAACTCTACGGCGGGGGCAAAAATACGCGGGCAGAGGCGCCCTCGGTGGACCTCGCTTCCGTGCCCCGACGGCCCCGACTCCAGCCAACAATACTAGGCCTCCACCTGCGCCACCCTCCCTCTCCTCCCCTCCTCTAAACTGCTAGACCTAGACAACCGGATTGCAAAACAAACGTTTATAAATACGGCCTTAGTCTTAAATTTGT